GACAGTGCATGCGCCGTCGCGCTGTATATATACTCAAGGTCGGCGCTCGCTCGCTCAGTTGCCGCTCGTCGGTTGGTTTGTAGGGCGCGTCGACGTCCAAGGTCGCGGTGAAATGAATTCCAACGAATCCACAAACACAATGATCGACGTCCCTTCGACCAGCGCCGCCCTTTAGCATACGTGTGTACGTGTTCACTCATTTAACACCCCCTCCTACAACCACGTTAACCAATTTAGCCATCGACCCAAGTAAGTCGCAATTTAACACCCCATTTCACAACCACGTTAACCAATTTAGCCATCGACCCAAGTAAGTCGCACTTTAACACCCCATTAACCAATTATATGCTCCGCATCCTCCTCAGTGTTCCCCCGAGGGAAGCTGCAGGCAATCTTTTTTTATTTACGAGCATCGAGTCGATGCTTTCAAAGGGGGGGACTATTGCCCCATGGTTTGCTTGGGTGAGATCGAAGAGTGAAAGAGGACAAAGACGATCTCTCTGAGCCACTGCTTAGCTAGTCGACTCAACGAGCCCATTATATCAAGTTGGTCGTGAGTAACGTGACAATATGATGGAAAGATGCGAGATGGTGGTACTAGGAGTGTTCACTTGACAGACAGACAGACAGACAGACAGACAGACAGACAGACAGACAGGCGGGCGGGCGGGCGGGCGGGCGGGCGGGCGGGCGGGCGGGCGGACGGACGGACGGACGGATGGATGGATGGACGGACGGACGGATGGACGGACAGATGACAGATGGATTGATGGACGCACGGACGGGCGAATGGATGAACGGATGAACGGAAGCAAGAACGAAAGGACGGGCGGATGCTTCGCCACGCTCATCATCATGCACTCCGCGGTATGCTGTGATTTTTTTCTAAACTGCTCCATACCATAACGGAATATTTTTTTCAAAGTGCTAAGCGTATTCATAAATGCTCCTTGACTTGAATTTGACTTTCCACTGCCTTAAATGCAGCACAAGCGCGTCTTGAATGCACTCTCTTTAAGCAGTGCCAAGGTAGCACAAACGCGTTTCAAACTCGGTCATTTGAAGGCAGTGGCAGGTCAAGTGCAGGCGAAAGAGGGTTTCTGTGAGCGTTCGCGACTCATTTATTTGGTAGGTGCTGGGACAACTCAAAGCTCTCTTATAGTAGAGTACATCGCACTCTAACATGTCGAACGTTTGTTCGAAACCATTGTTCGAACACACACAACATTTTCGAATTGGCCTTAAGTTTGCAGCAGAAGTATCAATTGTGTCAACCCTGAGGGTTTATCCCTATTTTTAGAGATTTTCTACCATTTTCATGCACTTCACGTCTTTTTATACAATCCAGTGATTTTTAAGGGCTCTGGCAATGTTACGATACGCATTCTAAAGAAAGGCGTTACTGTGTAATCGCGCTTTTTCAACGAGAACGACTATGTATTAAACCATTTCTCCGGCATCTTCCCTCAGGGGGAACTCGAGTAATTCGTCGCTGAGTAGGGGGGGGGGGGGTTATCGCGAGAATGTTGCGTAATTTGGTGTGGGTCGGTAATGGCTCATTTTTATTTCGTCCCCATCATTCTTATTCATTCAATGAAAAAGAAGCGCTGCCTTCAACGAGCGGTGAGACGCTGATGTGCGATCCACTGCCTACATATACGGGGCGGCCAGTGAGCGGTTGTGCAGCTCGAGCAGTCGGTTTTTACTGGCAGACGCTGCCTGCGTCGGCCTCGCGAGGCAAAAGAGTGGGAGGAAACAGTAGGCACGAGGCGCAAGCGTGTGGCACGATAGGCAAAGTGCGAGCATGCGCAGGGGGGCGAGGAGGGGAGGTGGACATCACCGCCGACGAACGACGCGCGACATCGTGCGACTAAGAAATGCTCCGTATTTAAAAACAATTAGTCATTTGCTGTTTTGCATTAAAGACAGGCTTGATGTTCTGCAGGGCCGAGGCGGCAATATTATATGCTGCAGGCTGTGTTTTGGGGGGGGGGGGGGGGGGGGGGGGTATGACATTCCGCCAACGTTGCTTTTTGGGCTAGTTAGCTATGTGCATCAAAAGGTGTTCTAGCGCTAGAAGACATGGACGAGGTGGAGACAAGAGTACCGTTGTGTCTTCATCGTCCTTTTTGCTAGCGCTATGAGCCCTTTTGCAGCTTCATCGTCGTAGCTTCTTTAATATGCACGGACGTATCATCAGTGTCCTGAGCTCTGTGAACGATAATTGTTGTCTTGTGATGCACATGAAAACGTGCCAAGCTCACCTTCGCCACGTGACATTAGCGTGCTATGTATCCACGTATACCTAATATTTTTTGGATCAGCACCGTTTGAGAAAAAGAGAATGAAAGAAGGGCTGGCAGTTCGACGAGTCGGTATGGATTCATAATTATGAAAACGGCATGATCGAAAGAGACGAAAAGACAGTTTGTGTGTTTTCGGTTCATTGGTCTTCAGCGAAAATACTGACAACAACATTTGTCCTGATGGGAAGCTTATCAAAAGTATACAGAGTGGTTATCAGCAAGCAAAACAAAGAGGGGGGGGGGCTGTACATGATACATGAACTACGAACGCTGATTGGAAATGTGGGCACTTTGATGTTGACGGCCACCTCATGAGCTGCAAGCATAAGAAAGGCACTACAGACTTTCGATTGCTCCGAACGATCACGTCTATCCCTTAAAGGGGTAGCAGGGGTGAACTTGACAAATCTGCGTCTCTGAAGTTACTGGCACCATCTGAAACACTGTTCGTGTGCATTTACTCTACAGAAAATGCAGAAATAATTCCATCAGTGGTTGTTAATACGTCGCATTTCATTTCCAATAAAATTCAGTGGAATAGGACCAGAGAGCGAACTATCTTTTCATTTCCTTTTTTAGTTTTTCACGGAGAATTAACCATAATGACGACATTAAAAAGTCGATTTAGGAATTTTTATTGCGATCTACAGTTTGTTCAAGGTCCAATTTAGGGATAAAGCGTTGACTTTGGTAGGCATCACTGGGAAGCATTGTGCTCCACCATAGCAGAGCGCGAAGAGTGCGGCAAATAGTTAGTCAACTGGTCTAAACGCGGATTACTGGCCCCAGCACCTTTCCGTGATACTAACCCAGGTGGATTACTGGCCCCTGCGCCTTTCCGTTCACAAAAGACAGGCTGCCCGAAGGGAAAGCGCATGGGGTGGTGTGCTCCATACTGCGTGCCCCGTACGTGGGGAAAGCAGAAAACTTCTCGAGTGTCTGCGACATGAAAAATCACAGCACAGCCACGGAGTGCATGATGATTAGTGGGACGAATCGTCTGTCGGTTCGTTCCTTCTTGCTTCCATCCGTCCGTACGTCCGCCTGTGCGACCGTCCATGAGTCCGTCCGTCCATCCATGTGTCCTTCTGTCCGTGCATCCGTCCGTCCACCTAGTGAACGCTTCAAGTACCGCCATCTCGCATCTCTTTATTATATATTCAGCATATAGAAGTACCGCCATCCAGCGTACATTCCAAGGACTAAACGAGAGTTAGAACTCGCGCACTTTCTGCGCTTCGTGTCTACTTTTCACCTTTCACCGCCTCTATTACATGGCTATATGCTAGTTCACTATTGGCCGTGAGGGCCTCCACTGGAAAGGCTAGCGCTGCGATCGTTTTCACGTCACAGATGATATGCGTAGTTGTGGAATACGGCAGCTTTGCTTTCGCGACACCACTTGCGTCATCCTCCATGGTTAGTCGTGATTTTACGACGCAGATTAGACACGAGAGTGCCACGGGGGGCACCGATTCGTAGTTTGCTTGTCCGTATTATCTGGTCTTACCACTTCTTTAAGCACTGAGCTTCAAGACAAAGGGAAGCACGCACGGTGTCAACAGCAAAAGCGCAGAAAATGCGCTGTTCTAGTAGACAAAGTCAACCCCCGCATCCTATGAGTGACGTCATCACGTAGGTGGCGCTACGGTATGTCCTCGAGGCCAATATTCATGGCACTGCGGCCCAACTCTCGCTAAACCTTGCTAAAACGAAGAAGGTTACACCCAGCGAGTTTAACGGGGCAACCCTTTCTGGTGAGATAGTGCTCGAAGTGCGTCCTTCTGATACTGGCCTTCTTTTTTTTAAGCGTCAAATTCAAGGCAAATTGTATTGAAGATTCACTCGCCAATACTCGCCTCTGTAAGTTATTTTGTCAGAAATAACTATCTTTTTATTTATTAATAACGTGCGCGGGTTTTCTTTTCAATTGGAAAGGGTGCGGGCGTGCAGCTCCTCCAGTCCGCCCGTGGAGGTGGCTACCTACTTCTACAACTACGACGACTACTACTCATACTACTACTACATACATCGCGGATGCACGACCCACGGCAGAGGGAGCTTCGCCCGCAAAACCGACGTCTGCAAGAGGTTGTGGCCTCTCCTATACTTACAATCTCTCAGCAATCATGCGATGGCGTTGGGGAACGAGATTGTGCAGAGACGCGATATAAACACCCGTGCTCTACCCGCGTGGCATGCTCCAGCAAGAGTTCGGGACGACTAACGGCAACAAAGGCTTCGGTGAATTCGTGGTATGTTCCACTTGCAAACACGTGTTAACATCGGGCAAGGTGTCCGCGGTAAATGAAACTTTCACTTGATCTCATGGTAATAAGGGCTGCAGCGCGAGCACGAAGGTGCTAGAAGAAACAGACGAAAGGCGAGGCACGGAAGGCAAAGAGGACAACACGAGCGCTTACTACCAACTGAGCGCTGACTACCAAAGGTTGGTAGTCAGCGCTCGTGTTGTCCTCTTTGCCTTCCGTGCCTCGCCTTTCGTCTGTTTCTTCTAGCACCTTCGTGCTCGCGCTGCAGCCCTTATTACCATGAATTCAAACCAACTAGCCCAAATAGCCATTCTTTTTCAGTTGATCTATACGAGCTGTTTCACATGCATCTGGCTGGGGCACTTTCTTTCATGGTTGTCTTCAGTGGGAGATTATGCAATCTTTTTTTTCTTTTTTTTTTCAGGTTCGGAATAGCTGTGCCACAGCCGTACGGCTCCACCGAAATCCTGGGTGAGGTGCAGGTTCAATCAAGGGAGGAGGACTGTGAGTACCCGTGTTTTTATTTTGACGTGAGCGTGGCACATAAACATTAGCGTAAACGATAACACATTGGTTCACATGCATTCGGAGAACCGCATACGCCAACGCCGGACAAGCGCGGACGACACCCGTCGGCAAATGCATAAAATACCGATCAGCACAGTTGCGTTCGATATCAATCAGCAAAGGCTGATCTATAATCGTGTGTTCCGGTGGGGCATGCATTTCTCACGGAGTGCATGGGTGTTTTGTTATCCCAAGTTTTTTTAATCGTACTTGCGAGTTGTAAGTTTACAGAATGTAAACGTTAATGTTGGTTGAAACGCGTCTCTTCGAAGCTCTTTTATAGCTTTATGCATTCTGTCTCAATGTCGTTTTGTGGCTGTCAAGTGTGATGCTATATTTAAAGCGCAAAACAACTAACGTGGGCGCATGTCAGCACACGTGCATACTATCTTCTGTTTTGTTACACAGCAAGACGCCAGCTTCGTTGTAGTGTGCCGGCATCTTTTTATAATGTCAATAAATATTATTCTACTTCACTCTATACGAGGTGTTGTTTGTTTTGTTTTTGTTTCTTAACAATCTATTTCAACATTTGTCGTTCATAAGAGTGCAGTGGTGGCACTTCCCTTTCTCTTTTTTCAGGGAGGAAGTACTTCGAAGGCGAAAACTGGAGGGTTCATCCCGACTGGTATATTCGTATTCTCTACGACTCTCCCGCGAAATTCATGATTTCGAATAGGACGCGATTTGGAAAGCGCTAACTCGACGTTTTGCTGCGCAGGGAGTACTGTGTCGACATCCACAGTACGTACGACACGCCCGAGACGATAATCAAAGATTTCCTCGAGCGGGTCATGAAAGAACCCTCCGAAACGTCCGAACGCTACAAGTGGAAGCCGGACTCTAAGCGGCAGTTCTACAACACCATGGTCTGTAAGTATGAGTTATGATGCGAAGTACCTACGTATACGCGGGCAAACAGGAATGTTCAAATTATGAAAACTCGGGGCTATTTGGTGCACAGATTGAACTTGTAATGTTGCAGGACTCTATCTTAGATGTGAAGCACCTTACGGTCGGGGCTTGCCCTTTGTCCGTCGTAGTAGCCACGCTAGTACTCGGACCGCCCGTTAGATGGCTCTGCTGTATAGTGGCTCCACTACAGCGGGTGCTGTATGAGTGGAGATCGCTTGAGGCACTGCGCTGCTCTGTATGATAAAATCGCTTACTCCTCTCTCTCTCTCTAACACACACACAGTGTAGTATGATAAAAATGGGTACATCAGCATAAGGGTGATAGAAGCGAGGGCTCGCAAAGCCGCTGGGCTCGCAACCATGAACGCTCTCGGTGATGATTAAAGAGCACATCTTTATAGAGCTTTAAGTCGACCCATTGCTGCTTCGCATATAAGGGTTCTATTTAAGGGGAGTTCTGTGCATCTTTTTTATCTACTCAATTACGTTTCAATTCTTCATTGTACACTAAAAAAAAGATTTAGATTGGACGTCTTAACGCATGGTGAAGCACCTTATCAGGCAAAACCGCTAGGCGTGGCTGAGTTCAGTTTTGACGCGCTCAGCGTTTAACGCCGAGACGACTGATCCGCAATTTTCTCTACTCTACAAAAAGGATGAAGCAGAGCATTAAGCGGCAATTTAACTCTCGTGCGCACGACAGGTATCGGATGAAACGGTAGCACATAACTAAATGAACAACGTGTAAACGTAATCTGTGTCCTCCAGTAATTGTCAGCGAGCTTGTTTGAAAACGTGCCTCTTCCACTGCATGGCCCTTCGTTGAAACTGTAGGTTTGGTCTAACGAGATTAATAACGAGGTTAAACAACTGTTCCAGGTTTCTTAAGTGTTTCGACCATATAACTGTAACATATACAAAGAACACCAGAAAGCACTGAAAGATACGGTTGTACACCTGAGCTAAAGATCCGCTGCGACTTGCTTATAATAGAAAACTTTCTTTTATTTTGTACAGTAGAAACCACCGCGATATGCCGTGATGTAAAGTTTTGAAACATTACACCCCGATGTAGTTTGACTTGAACTTATTCGTTACTTCGTTCGCTTCGGTGTATCAGTGGCTTGGGTTCTCCGCTGTGGACCCGGTGGTCGCGGGTTCGACCCCAGCCGCGGCGGTCGCATTTTGATGGAGGCAAAGTGGCTGAGGCCTGTGTACTTTGCGATGTCAGGGCACGCGTTACAGAACAACAGATGTTCAAAGTTTTCCGTAGCCCTGCACTACGGCGTCTCTCGTAATCATAGCGTAGTTTTGCGGCGTAAAACCTCACAGTCATCAGCTGGAACTCTCCTGACATCTTTCGTGGTGACTGCACGAAATTTCTGGAAGAAACTTACAGCCGCAGCCCCCACAACTTGAACATGAAACCTTTATTTCCGCGTAGTAACACATTCAAATTCAGTTTTTTTTTCCAAGTACAATAAACCTCTGGAATTGTCTACCGGACAGTATTAGTTCACGATACCACTAAAATATTTCATTGATTCCGCTACTAACCACTTTGAAAATATGCAAGTTCTTCTTTGTAATATGCAAAATGATGGTTTCTTACGTATTGCTGTAATGTATTTCAGTTTTGTTGTTGTTTTTACTCTGCTGTATTCGTACTGTATCATTTATACACCCCTGCTATAACCCTGCACTATCGAACTGCAGTACATTCAAATAAGTTATTATTATTATTATATTATTATTATTATTATTATTATTATTATTATATTATTATTATTATTATTATTATTATTATTATTATTATTATTATTATTATTATTATTATTATTATTATTATTATTATTATTATTATTATTATTATTATTATTGCTGCTGCAACGTTCAAGTTTCTTATCACCCCGTTACATTGTACGTAATTCTCAGCGCAAACCGCGCCTGCAGTGTTCTAGAAGCTTCGGCACTGTAGTCGATCATTTCGTCAAGATAACGTCCACTTTGCGAACATTACAGATTATTCTGGAACTTACGTGGCCGCTTTAGCGATAACGCCAGAATATTTCGACGGCACGTGTATAAATGCCGACGCGCTTCACCGCTTGTCGGTTGATCGACGGCCGACGCTTTGCTCGCCACTGTCAGTGCCAGTGTCTTGCTGTAATCGGGCTTTTCTATTACGTGGTCACCATTTCACCCAATAAACAGTTTATTATTCGACCTGCAATCTGCTCCTTCGTCTACGTCACGACCTCGTGACAATATGCTCTGATTGATATGTGGGGTTTAACGTCCTAAAACCGCCATTTGATTATGAGAGACGCCGTAGTGGAGGGCTCCGGAAATTTAGACCACCCGGGGTTCTTTAACGTGCACCCAAATCTGAGCACACGGGCCTACAACATTTCCGCCTCCATCGGAAATGCAGCCGTCACAGCCGGGAAGCGAACCCGTGACCTGCGGGTCAGCAGCCGAGTACGTTAGCCACTAGGCCACCGCGGCAGGGCATGACAATATGCTCTTTGTTTCCGCTTCAAAATTTTCCACTCGCGGTCCATCTCGCATGCTAACACCAGCGCGAGGCGGCAGCGGTGATAACTATTACGCGATGCAGGTGACAAGGAGCTCGTGCAGAGCCTGGTGTTCGACGCCAAGGTGACCAGTCCGGAGAAGATCATGGCCCGCCAACCTTCCAAACAGCTCTACTCCCATGTTTCAAAGTAAGCGACGCCGCTACATGCCGACTCTGTACCGCGCTATGAGTACATCTAAGCTGGCTTCGGGAATGTTACATCCTCAATGTTACGTCCTCAAGGTTACGGGCTATATACGGGGACATCATAGCGGCTACAGCGCGGCGGACGAAAGGCAAAAGACCGGATGCAGCACGGACGCTGTCTCTTCACCTTTCGGCTGCTTCTGTCGTGTTGTGTGGTCACTATGAAGATATATACTAGACTCGCACAGTGTTCCTTCTTATACCAATATTACACGGGCAAGAGTTGACTGCGGGTACGACCAATCACGTTTAAGTGCGTTAAACGGCGATAAGCGCTAACCATGATTTGCTGGTGTTACGCAGCGCGAAAGCGTCCCCGGTTAAGGCGGCTAACGTCACCTCCAAGGGTGCCGTTATTTCTGCGGTTAGGACACCCTATACCTCGGTTAACCGCCAAACCTAGGCTGTCAAGCTCGGTTGCCTATGCAACTGCGGATAGCGGGATAACCGCGGTTTTGCGTACCATATAACATATAGGCGAACCGTGGTTGCACTGCAACTGCAGTTTAGGCTGCCTGTGTTACAAGGGTATATTACTGGTACTACCGCAGACAGTCAATTAACCTCGAAATTTGGAGGTTTGAAGACATAAAACGGAATCAACTCGTAGACCACATAAATTATCGGTCATAGCGAGAGGATTTCGTCTTGGAGTGGACTCAATATATGATCACAATTGTCAACAAACCTCAAATCATTTCAAGTAACTTGGCAACCGTTGCCGTAAGCTTTCGTGATATCTGTTTAAGTGTAATTAAAAACGTGACGCAATGCTACTTCAGCGAGACGTTGCGGGTTGGAATTCCAAAAGGCGGCTATCGGCGGTAGTGTAATGAACGACTGAATAAAAAAAAAGTTCCTCCACGTTAACGAACATGAAGTCGCCCAGTGTTCGGAAACCGGGATGACTTCAAAACTTGCCTGCAATGAATACGATTTTGCAGGTTCCAAACGACTATGATTTTTGTTTCTTTTTTTTTAATTTTGAATTGTGAGGGATCTTACAAGAGATAAATGTTGTCCTGCTGAAAAAGAAATTCCAACGTTTTGTCTGCCAAAAAAAAAAACAAGAAACAAAACTAAAAAAGCTATTGTTACACAGATTGGAACTTTGGCGAGTATGATTTCACTAGTAGCCATAGCAGTCGATGTCTTTCTCAGCACGTTATATATATATATCATGTGACACGAGCCGACACCACCCTTCGATCAGTACAGCTGAAGGTTAAACAGAATATTTGCTTTTTTTTCACCGCGTACTTGTTTACGTTATTAGCAGCTTCATTCGTATGCAGTCTAGAGGCCACATTTTTAGCCTATCATTTCGTAAAAGCTACATTGAGGATTAGCTTCCTTAAGCCACCTTGGATGCCGGGAGCTTGAAGGCTGCTGTTAAGTACAACAGCGACAAACCACCGTTTCCGTAACTTAAGTCATGACTCAATGAAATGCAGAGCGTGAGCTTTTTGTTTGTGAGTATCTGTTTTAAAAAATACAGTGCTCGTCATCGTAGCACTGAGTGAAGCATTTGTAACTGCTTTATTAACACTGAAATTTTGAACACGCACGCATTCAAGCTCTTTGGATATTGATTTAAATGAAATGGTGGCAAAAAAGTTTAATGATTTATTAGGAGACTCTGAGGAGAGCAAAATTTGGCTGTTGACGTGACAAATCAGTGAAAAACGATAATCTAAAGCGGTATATGCTGTCCTGGTAAAAAAAAACAGCTTTAGAGCTGCACAGGGTCTGATCTTTAAAATTTTCTACGTAATATATTTGCCGCCATTTGTCGAAGTAAAAACAACTATACTGCTTTTGAAATGCAAGGTTTGCGGGAAGCTTTCCTTTATCAACTGCACTTGCTCTAGAAATGTTGCAACGCGCACTTGATAGAGGAAAGTTTTCAGAGACATTAATTAGTCGACATTTTAAAACAGTGTTTTATTTTTTCCTAAAGTCAGGGAATTGCCTTGGACGCACTGAGACACGGCCCAATAGTGTACTGACGCATGTTTGTGCTTTTGTTATTGAATGTTTCGAAGCAATTATGCGCTTATTTCTTGCTTTGCGAGTCTGTAACTCGTGTTCGCCTCAAAAGCATAAAAACTGTGTAACTATTAACATGCATTACAATAAAAATAACAAGGAATGGTGGTAAAAACGAGGATATATTGGTCACTCATGAAAAGTAGCGTTGAAAAAGAGCCAAGGGGAAGAGAACCTATTGAATAAACAAAGAATAAAAAAGAGGATTAGGAGGTAAACGCCTACTAAGGGATGTTGCTTGTTAGCGCTGTTCTTTTAGTTATTTTGTATACCTGTGTGCCTAATTTATTATGGTTCATAATACTACAATGAGCTAGCAGTGTCGCGGTAATGTGTTGTCCTCCCTTTGGCTGCTTAACCTCATTAGTTATCTTTGACAGAGGACGTACTTAAGCTTCAATGACGTAGAATATTGAAAGTGTTCAGTATTTCGGCAGTGTTGAGCAGTTGGACCACCAGTTTTATTTGACCAAATGCATCGCGAAGCATGTGATAACTTTCTCGCTGCGCGTGTGCTTATCTTAGTGTGTCTGTGTGTGCGTCTGTTATACTGGTACTATGCGTTGCTTGGTACCATTGGATTACACTCAAAGCTCAATATAGCGAACACTGATATAACGAAATATTGCTTATAACGAGGTAAATGAAAAATTGTCTTGCAATATTTTAGTGTTAGGAATAACCTTGATAACGGGTTTCCATATATAACGAAATTATATTCATGCAAGATGCAACTTTGTTATAATGATGTTTGAGTGTACATCTCCAATGGGCCAAGCACATTATTAATATTTCTCAGCACCAAGAGTAAACCACTAACTTGCTTCTAAAAATCAGCTCTGAGTGCTAAGAACTACTGCATATTAAAAGTTTGCATGGCATTAGGCACTGAACATTGATATCTGCGAAGTTGTTCTGGCTTGCATTGAATATTTGGACATGTCAGGGCTCGTCAACATTAACGGTGTGCATGCACCAAGGGGCCATATTTTGAGATCATCACTTTTGTAAGAGTAGCCGAAATGTCGCTCTCAGTGAGCGCCCATTGGCTGGTTATGGAAAGGCGGGCAACTATAGTCGCCTCAGTCATTGGACTCGCGAGATTCTACGTACCGCAAAGTGGCACTGTTGCTCGAAGTGATCGTCTCAGAATACGCGGCCCCTGTAAGCTGTACTCCCAGTTACAGCCTTTATGGGGTCGCTGGAGCTTGTCATCGTAAACTTAAACATGGTGCCGAAGCGCCTAACTTATTAGAACTAAAATAAATCAAAAGAAAACCGTCATGACGACCCATTATGGTCAGTACGTTACCCTGTTGTTTTTGACATTCGGCTTTTTTTTCTACTGCATTCTGTTTGACGTTCACGGCATACAAAAGTGATCTCTCGGTGCACTCTGTGGTGCTTATTATCCTGTTTCTGAACTGGTGTGCCATTTCGAGTCAGTATTGTTTATTGTGATCGGAGTGAGCTTGCGAGCGTTATCAGTAAAATTTTGTCTATGTAATAGACGCCTACGGCAGGTTTGATAATTTTGAAAAAAACTAAAACTAGAATTGCAAGACGCTTAGAGTTGGTCGTGTCCCACATGCTTCACGTTAGCGATATTATTTTGAAAAAAGAGGAGGTAAAGGTAGGGGACATATTTCATGCTTCCACATGCATGTTGCTTTGTGTGTTCGTAAACGTGCGCATGTACTATATAAATAAAAACAGAATATTTCAGGAGATGATGGCTTTAAGGCCTTCTCATTCGCTCCCTGTCCAGGCCCATACAGCTGTCTTTGACTCTCTACTCACGTCTGTTCTCGCGTAACAGTTTGAGATAGCAAACAGATCGGCTTAGTCATTAGACGTAGCTGCCCAAGAGAGCAAGGGCCAGAAAGGTGAACGGGCTGTAAAGCAGCGTTGACTTCCCTGATTTATTTCTGTTGATGATGGTATTTCGTTAAGTTCGGTTGATTACCGCGACGCCATAGATCTCGAACGAAAAAACCTAAACTTCCTAACGCTATAAAATCTCTAGCGCCCTAACAGGCCTATCCTATAGAGGGCGTCTACCGTATAATCGCCGAATTAGATATTTTAAGCCACGTTTACGTGAATGTGACACAAAAGCGTGTGGGCGGTTGCTATACCGTATTCAGCCCCCCCCCCCCCTTTTTTTTTTCTACGCCAAACCATTTTTCCACCAACTGCAGCGTTGGTGGCAATTTTTGCAACTTGACTGCCTGTGCGAATGAGTCGTATGTATAAGCTACCAAGGCGCTGGCCGTGAAATAACGTTTTACGGATTGATAAGAAGTGATCTGTTACACTGGATATCCGTTATTGGCATGTCGACTCGTAGTTATCAAAAATAAATAAATAAAAAGGAGGATTTATTTGGAGAAAAGTGAAAGTTTCATAAGCTATTTCTGTCGTCCGTGTTCCTAAAAATTGAGAGCAGTTGCGTGCGACATGTGGTGCACGCTTTCCGCCTCACTTGCGCACTCGAACTATTTCTTTAATTAATTAAATCAAGGAAGTCAGTACATGTATTACTGCTGCTGTAAAGAAGCCGGGATGAGCGCCTTATTTTACAGATGTGAATATCTATGCATGCTGCTCGTGTACATATTCTCGGTCTTGCCTGTACGCCCGCGCCTGTGCGAATTGAGTGATCTTGTGTCGCACTCACGTAAACGCCACTGGCTTCTATGCTTTTTTGTCCTGAGGAGGCCCGTAGCCAGGAGGGTGGGGGAGGGGGGAGTGCTAGGGACATTCGTAAAACCAAGCCGGGTAAGGGGGTGTGGGAGTGTTTTACCAGAGAAAAATTATAATTGAAATAGGTGCTTTTCAACGCCTCATGCAAGTGGGACCCCTCCCCGAAAAAAATTCCTGGCTGCGGGCCGGGTCCTGGCGTTCGCTTTGCTTTGTTTCTCGCTCTCCCCTCTTTACCCCTAATTACCGAACTAATAAGCTGCCGGACGGTAAGTATGCAATGCTTACAGGAGTACCAGGTAAGAGAACTTTGTTCGCTCAACTAACCCGCTTTCTTCTCTTTCACTCAGTGCCTTCTCGTTGTGATCCCTGGGTCGTGTCTCAGTTTGTATCTAGAACGGGTGTCATCTCTTTGCAGTAATGAAAAATCTGATGTTAAAGAAAACTCGAATATCGCGTCGTGCTGATAATGGGTGTGCGAAGTGTGACTCGAACGCAGTCGCATAGTGACAAGCGCTAAGTAAGTACCAGTTGAATACAAACCTAACGAGAGAGGCAGGCAGGGAGATTACTCCGCGGTTACCCTGAAGTCAAAAAGAGCTTTGCTTCGGTGGGTGTTCCCTGGTAAGCTGTTCTGCACTGGGATGGAGGACAATGGAGCCAATGGCCAGCAATAGGAAATATTGATTGATTTGTGGGGTTTAACGTCTCAATAATTAGGGATGTTGAAGGATGGAACCTACTGGACGCATGGTGTACAATAAGCCCGCGATTATCATAGTAATTTTGACGCTGGTAAATATATTGATAGGATTGCTATTAGTTGTTAAGGATACCCGTGTTGTCATTGAAAAAATAATGGTGGCAAACATTCGCATAGCCTCACAAGACTGGACTAGGAATGAATAAATGTCGGTGTAATGTGTAAAACATTTGGTGTAATGTATATCACCCAGCCTAATGTGCTCCTGCAGTTCCCCCTAGTTTGTCACTAGTGTCACTAAACTGTTACTAGCAGCTGTAGTAACTTGCGCCACCTGTAACTATAGTGTCTCACATTCAGTCGCCTAGCACCGTGTCGAGCAGAGTAGCCTCGAGCCAGTGGTTGCTGTGACAACGGTGGCTATAGAAAGCAGTCCGCGTTGTTTTGTAGCTCGGGCGCACAATAGAAGGCGTGTGCGTGATACACATTACGACCTTTTCATGCATCTGACAGCGCTCGATCGTCCACCCAGGTGTAAGCGTGAGTAAATGGATCGAATGTGACTCAGCGCTCCGGTTTAACGCTAATCGAATGCACAATCATCGAGCATTACATACGCGACGCACCTTGCAAGGAGGTTAGCAGTAAATAGCTTGAAATGTCGATGTCTTGATGAAAATTCGATACGACCGATCATTCCGCAGAATCCACCGCAGTTGAAATGCGGATGCAAGAGCAGGTGCACGTGGATATGCGAATGCGGGACCAAAGCGGTTCCAATATAAATTTTTAAAATGTATTTTGAACTTAGGAGCTCTCCATTTGCAAGGTGTGTTTAGCGGTCAACTAACTGCGATCGCTATGTGCGCTTACGTAGGCTCAATTTTCCATAAGCAGTTTTATAATAGCGTCGTGCGAAGCGGTGCGTTAGAGTCTGACGCCACTGCGAATTCGTTATTCGCTAACCATTTGGGTAGCAGCGTTACATATGAAATGTAGCGTACGCACCCCACTATGGCTAGGGCTAGAATTATATTCTAAAACCTTGTCATATTGTTCGGCACATTCGTGAATACAGGATGGAAGGGCGCTAGAAGAAATGGCATAGTTTTCAATAGTAAACGGTTGTATTATTCACACAGTTGCTCTGCAATTGTGAAATTGATGATTCTGAATGACTGCTTGTTTTATGTGATTGATTGATTGATTGATTGATTGATTGATTGATTGATTGATTGATTGATTGATTGATTGATTGATTGATTGATTGATTGATTGATTGATTGATTGATTGGGTGTATATACGAAGGTAACCTCTTTCGTGGGAGCTTTTCTGGAAGCTGGTACTCACCCAGTCGTGCATATTGGCTCGGAATGCCTGCGCCCATTCACGAAATGTGGCAGCAGAATCGCTCGGCGCTTCGCTGTTCGAAAGTGTCCAACCTTCGCACACCCTTTATTAGCCCATGAAAGAAAAAAATATATAATTACTACGTCTACGCACGATTCCACCGACGGTCCAAGGCAAAACCCACTTTCACGCTGAACCCTGATGTTTCTAATCTCTGGTTATGTGTTTGGTGTGTGTGTCATTAGCCCCCTTCATAGGCTTCTGGCCTTGTTGCCCAGGTAACGTGACCCCTTTCTACCGTGTTTTCTTTTTTTTTTCTTATCTTGAGCATGTCTCAGACCGTCGTATGCAGCACTCTTCAATCGCGTAATTTCAAGTGTTTCAGCACGAGTTGCGGTGAACCAAGATAACTTTATCGCTCGTTATTATGTGGGTACGGATATCTTTGGAGCTTTCTTATTTAGGACACGAACGCCGGTCATGTGGTAGCTTTCGGTAACGCTTAACAACTGTGTGATTCTGTGAACTACAAGAATGACGTCGCAAACTTCTCTGCGTTACACTAAACTGAGCGGTGTGTGCGGAAATCCAGTCGAAGATATTCGTTTTCCGCTACCCAAGAGTCCTAAATTATTGAACTTGAAATAACACGTTTAAATAAAGATGCGGAGAGAGGCAACCAAGCTTAAGACTGGAAGTTTGCCTCCTCTTAGACAGAGCACAAAACAAACGTGATTTAGCAGCAGAGTAGAAAGCTAATAACTAACAAGCGAAGTTAGCTTTGACAAGAGAGTGTTCCTCTGTCGTTTCTTGCGTCACGCGAATTGAGAGTATAAGATACGTACTTCATCGTCAACTCGTGGGATGTGTAGGACGTGAGTATAGTTTTTTTGTGTATAAGCGTGAACGTGGGGTTTTCTTCTGCGAGGAGCCAGAGAAGCTAGTATAGGTAAATAAGTTAACCAAACGCACGTATGGTTTGTTATCCTGCATTGGGGGAACAAGATAAGTGGCTGGAAAGAGATCTGAAATAAACCTGTCCAGGGGGAAACGTTTTCGAAGGACTTAAATCCCTAATTCACCTCGCGATCATGATAGCTCTCATCTTAGAAAAAAAAAAGAACGTAAACTTTCTTTAAATGTCAAGAACAATCCAGTCCAGCGTCCTGTGAAGTAGGAGTATGTTAGCGTAACGTTTGAGTGAACAGAGCATGCAACGTGTTATAATAGCAAACAAGGCCTTCCTTGAACGTGCGAGAAAAGTGCTATGAATGCGCACAGGAGGCTCTTGTGAAAGCATGCTTGTTTTTGTTTTTGGGGGGCATGGCGCGCGCAGAGACACGACGTTCAAAAGCAACGGCATCGTGATGACTTTTGTGGCTACGAGGAGCGGTTTGCTGCGGTTCACGGACCACCGTAGCGAAGAGGAGAAGGGCAGCAACTCCGAAAGGTACGTCTTTCGCGGGAAGTGGCCCGCTGCGTGTGAGGAGGCATAAGTCCGCGTTGTTCTCAAACAATGCCTCCACTCGACACATCGCATTTCCGTGTGTGTGAAAGAGCGCGAGGGCGGAACTTCCGGTCCCCGTGACGTGCGTCACATTCACGTGACCCGAGAAGGAACGTCTTGTGTGACGTCATTGGTAGTGGGGGAACGTCGCTCTCGACTCTGGACCCTTTCGCAGTGTGCAAACGCACGTGCAGGACGGCTATCCGTGTGTTTAGAAAAAGTGGCTAACGATTTAGAGCACTAGGTACTCTACTATGGGAGAGCCCAAAGCCGTGCCGTGGCTTTGTACATTGTACCGTTGGTCTCACACTTGATGAGGCCCTGTTTACAAAAATTATTTAGGGATAAATCCCTGGTGTTGGCATGTGTTTAAAAAAATAGTTAACGATTTGGAGTACTTGGTTCTCTGCTGTGGGAGAGCAAAAACGCCGTCCCGTGGCCCTCACATACAAGAGACGTGCCGCATCATTAAAATTGCCTAAATCTGCGTAGCCTTTTCATTGGTGAGAAAGAGAAGCCTCAGCGTGTAGCCCGCTCATTTTCAACAGTTTTCTCTCCGCGTCTGGCTAAATATTTCAATTACACTTTCTTTTAAACTAGATACAGCATCACAAGAGTTTGTCCTCAACTTTGAGCGTCTGCCTTTTACTTGAAAGCAGAAAAAGAGCATTTTCTTATTCTTGCACAATTCAAGACACGAGCTTTCCGCTTCGGTGTTAGAGAGTAATAATTAAAGTGACCGGAAGTTTCTTGGGTAGCAACACGTGCTGCTAGCGGCATAACGTAGGCTTACTAGCCCTCCAGCCGCATGGGCCAATTGGTGACAATGGTAAAAACAACGATACTTATGTGAAGCCCGGCAGAACCTTTGCCATTCAAATTTTGGTGGTCGTATGTGACATCATAGCGGCATTTCAGCTCAGGTCGCGTGGTACTCCCGCAATGAAGGCGAACGGAAGTCCCGTATTCGCGCTCTTTAGAATACTGAAAAACAAATCGACCCTCTTCACTCTAATAAAAATATAAAAAAGAAACGCAGTTGAGGGTTCATTGCTTTTTTTTTTTTGCGACGATGATCGTCATTTGGCTTTTTTGTGTTTCCTTTGCGAAAAGTAATGCACTCGCTACTTCTTTCTATGGCACAACGGTTGAAACGTGAGCTAGTTGATATATACAAGAATTTTTGTCATCTAAATGGGCAGCCATCTTTTCTGGGTGGCTCCTGATGACGTGGAACGGACACATACAACTTGTTTCTCTAACATGATGGCCGCTGGTGCTCGCTCGCCATCAGCTGTGGCGTAACCATTCCGCAGCCTCTACGCTGCTCTTGCAACCAGATGTCAACTGGGGTCAAGATCACGTGTTCTTGCTCCAAACGTAAGTTTGAGAGTAAAAATAATCTGGGCTATGTATTCATTGTGAAATATTGGCAGCTTAAACTAATCACACAGAAAGAGGACACAAACAAGCCTGGTGGCCCGATACTGGATGGACCGGGCATCCAGGCTCATGAATATAACAAGAGCAAATGCAAGCGAAATGGATGGCGATTATTTTTGAGGGACCGAAACACGCAACGCATTAGGAGCATCTATTGTAGAGTGCACCGGTCCAGAAATGGAAAGACAAGAGAGAGTGCAGTATATCGTGATAGAGGCAAAACAACGACTGCAATATAGCGGATTGACTATTTTTACTTAAGACACGTGGGCGCTGTTATCTTGGGCTGTTGAGTCGGTGTTTTCTTGTTTTTGCATATTGCGATGCAAATTCTTGAGGCCATGAAACATCGCATGCACCAACTTAACCGTTTCGGCGCGTGTGTATCTACCACCACACTTCGTTTAGTTAAAGATGCAAAACGCGAAACTTAACAGCCCAACGCGCGCGGCACTGAAACACCACCATAAAATAGTCTACAGCGCAGCACGTCATCCGCACGTCAGAGGTCATATGTTGGGCCAGTACTGCAAGAAAATGAGGCTTCTTGAAGAATTAGCTTGCCAATGTTAGAAAGACCTAGAAGTACAGACTGGCTCCGTGAGGTGATATCTCCGAGTAGGTTTTTTCCCTCATGATGCTACTCAAATCGTAGATGGATGGATTGATATGGCTGTACCCTTTAGATCGGGCGGTGGCTAAAGCCACCAAGCCTTACTACTTAGTGAACCAAAAAAATAGATTTACTTTTTTTCCCTTTAAATAGTGAGGTTGAGAACTGGTACTTTGCAACGAAGAGTTTATTTTTCACTCGTGCCTTGACTTTAGCCACCAATCAGATAACCTTCTTCTAGTTAATTCTACCCGCTTCAAGTCTTCTTTGCCCTCCCTGTTCCTAAACCCCAGTACTTTGAAAAACTGCGCCATCATCCTGAACTATAGGGTGAAGCCCTTTACAGAACATTATCAAGTGTTCAGCAGTTTCCTCCTCCTCTCCACACGCATTGAATACCGTGCCTACCCCTTCGTACTTGGCCCGATATGTCTTGTTTCGCAATACTCCCGTCATCGCCTCAAACAGTAGAGAACTACCCCGAGTATTATCATAGATCCTTTCTTTAGCAATTTCCTGCATAAAAGTTCGATAAATCTCTAGTGCGGACTTCTTAATCATGCTAATTCTCCACATATCGGTCTCCGCTTTCTTCACCTTCTTCTTAACCGATAACAATCGAACGAGCTGATCACAGCGCCACCACTCGACCAAAGAAGACACTACACCTTCTAAGATATTCCTTGGAATGTCAGTGAAGTGCAGGAACCACTCTTCTCGAAGTGGGGTGTGGGTTGAAGAAACACTCCCTAGAAGATGAGAGAATGCGGCTGTGTGCTCGAGCGAAGAAGTTGTTAAGGAAATACGGTTAGTAAACGGATAGACGGGTAGGTGAGTGCGTGATACCTGAAAGTTAACACGCCTTATAGAAGCAGTTGTGTGCTGTGCAAGCAGTCATAACACGGAAAGTACAGATAAAATAAATGAAAGACACAAAAAGTGGCACACTGCTTTGAAAAGACGTGTGCTGCGCCGGCATAAATCCAAACGCGAACTCCGAAACTACACCAATGCATTGTTCCGTTTCCAGGCTTACCGGCATCGAGAGCACAAGCTTGATTCGAACACCAAAGTGTACCCCTCGATACTAACTAATGCACATCTACTATGAGGTAGTCACATGGCTACACGTTCGTGCACAGGTGTTGCCATCAGTCGCTTGTTGTCCGAATTTAGATTTCACACCGTTAGCACCAGATTTCTCAGTTAGTGCGAGAATTTTGTTCAAGGGACGCTGTAAGCGTTCCGAGTTGAAGATCAGAGTTCAGTTGTGCACGGAGTCGCTAACAATTAGTGTGTTTCAGTGAATAAAGATGAATACAAAGACAAAGACAATTGATTCCCACACTGACTACTCTGGTTCCCGCACTTTCGATTTGTGTACTGATTATAGACGCCATCGCTCAGACTGCGGGATGACTCTGCGCTTTTCTGACGCTTTTCTGACTTGTAAGACGCCAAAGTGACCGCATTGCTAATGATTGGTAATTTAGGTTTCCTATCTTTTACAGACCATTCTACGAGCTTCACACCCGAGCTATCGACGAGCTGTTCTATCGACGTGCCGTCGACTTTCATCAGATCAGCAACACCTCCTTCATCTACTCCGTTCCGTTCGACGCCGGTGAGTGACAGCTACAACACTCGATCTGTGGTTCCGTCATACTTAGTACTGTTTCTTACCCGCACAAGTTTGGTATGTGTGTTTTTTGCGCCTCTATAGTTTGATATCATTACCGCCGTTAATATACTTAGTTCTGTCCTGGAAGTGGATACTGGCGAAGCCGCCAAAAATATTAGAGGGCTTAAACAGAAGTGGTGGACGGGGGTATATGGTGCGCACTGTGGTTTCCCATCACGTGCAAATACGTTGCCTGTTCTGTGAAAGTGGTTCTTCGCTGATGATGTGAGCGCTGTGTTGAAAGAGCGCTGACTTTCAACAATGATTTATTAGCGGAGTGGTGTACTCCGCTATTAAATCATTGTTGAAAGTCGGCGCTCTTTTCTATCCTTGTTTCTTCGCTTCCTCAGTTAAGCTGTAACTACTACTAGGTTGCGCTGCTCGTACTTTCAGTTATGTCCTACCAACTTGCCCAAATTTCCACGCTTCATAAACGTGGAGGCTTACAAAGAGGGATAAGCTTGAATTGAGGACGGACAACCAATCGATGGAAAGGAAAGTGATAGGTGTAACCTCAAGAGACAAGAAGAGAGCAGAGTGGGCCAGGGGACAAACCGTGGTGAAGGATATTACAGTTCAAAACAAGAAGAAATAGACATGAGCCGGGCACGTAGCACGTAGGCAAGATAACCACTGATCATTAAGGCTAGCTGACTGGATTCCCAGCGAAGGCAAACGCATGAAAGGGAGACATAAAGTTAGGTGGGCCGATGAGACTAAAAAAATCGCAGCATATCCGAGGAATGAATGATGATGATGAGTGGGGCGGAGCGTTCATCTGTCCGACCGTGCGTACGTCCGTGTGTTAGTCCGTGCGCCCATCCGTACGTCCGTGCATCCGTCCGTGTGTATGTGCGTGTGTCTCTGTCTGTCTGTCTGTCTGTCTGTCCATCCGTCCGTCCGTCCGTCCGTCCGTCTGTGCGTGCGTCCTCCCGTCCGTGCAGGCGTCCATGCGTCCAACCGCGTTCGATAATGCAGCTGGCGCACGGGTAACACCGACAAGACGCGAGCAAAGAAAGCCAAGCGCAAGCGTCTTCAACGCGCCCACCACTCTGCTTCGTCCATGCCTCAACGACCCGACGCGTACGGCGACGATCCAGAGACTGAGAGAAGCACTCGTTCCCCGCGCACTCAGGCATAGCGCGCGCAGCAGCCAATCTGAGATTAGCGGCAGAGTAACGTCATCTAAGAAATCAGACGAGAATACCTTTTTTTTTCTCGTCTCCTCGGTTACGCATGGCGCGTGAGAAGGTTAGGTTAAGAGGAGCTTCGCCCCTAAAAGTTCGCAGGGACAACTTGGTCGCAGAAAGCACAAGACCAGGTTATTGGCGGATCATGGGCCTTTGCGTCTTGATTGTATTTACTAAGGATTTCGACCAGTCGAAACCATCGGTAGAGTTATAAAATTACGACAGCCGCTAAGTTGTGTCTTCTTTTCCCAAGTGCGTCTGGTCCATCGAAAACGCTTCTGCAGGTGTGTGTGTGTGTGTGTGTGTGTGTGTGTGTGTGTGTGTGTGTGTGTGTGTGTGTGTGTGTGTGTGTGTGTGTGTGTGTGTGTGTGTGTGTGTGTGTGTGTGTGTGTGTGTGTGTGTGTGTGTGTGTGGTAGGTTTCAGAATGTGATGTATTTAGCTGCTTCAATCAATTAGCACTCCACTACTATTCCGGTTTTGCTGTTACTAAAGTCTAGAGTTCTCCTCGAAGTGGTTCGCTGCTAATCACCACTCGATTCGACTTTGCTTTAACCGAAAGGAAAAAAAGTGATATTCCCACAAGCGTGCCAATTTCACACTCGCAGGCGCCCGGTACGCGGCCAACGACAACAGCGCCGTCTACGTGACCGGCAGCCGCGCGGTGTTCCTGGGCACCGAGAAGAAAGCACCGGCGGCCGTCGTCGGGCTACAGATCAAGCACTCGGTCTTCGAGGAGAAGTTCCTCAACATTTCCTCCAAGGTGTGTATGCACCGGTTGCCGTGTGGCGTCGTTGCTGGCACGCGTTCATCATCATCAGTCTTACTACGCCCACAGCGGGGCGTAGTAAGACCCGCTGTGGGGCCCCGCTGCCCGCTTTGCCCCGCTGTGGGGCCTTTGCCCCACAGCGGGGCAAAGGACTCCCGTCCATCCATTAATCCGGACATCTGTTTGCTGCTGCCACTGTATACTCTCAAGCTTCTTGATTTCATCTGCCACGCTAACTTTCTGTATCCCCACAAGGGCTTGCTTTACTTTAAAATCTGGTCTATATTACTCCAGTCATTTCCAGCGAACGGAGAAACCGTAATATTAAGTGCAAATGCGATTCGAAAACGAAGTTTCGGTAATCTGTTGCTGGGGCTTATGAACTTTTTTTGCTGTATAGATATGCTTTTATGTCAATTTCAAATATGTAATTAGTTCTATAGTACGTTGCACAGTTTTTGTTTTGTGTCATGACATTGTGTACAAGTATAGCTCGTTTTGGATGATCTTCCTATGCCGCTAAAGTTTTTACGGTTATGAGTAATTAATTGCTCATATTGCATCACATTGCTGCAGAATGCAAATAACTATCAAGAAATTGTGTATAAAATGTTTTAATAAACAAGAAAAATTGTAATGCGAGAATACTTAAGAATGTCAGCCCATCGAAATTGTTTGCTTTAGGTTCTAATTTATTATGCTAGTGATATGAAGTTTTAAAAAATATACCTGCTCCCTTAACATGTGAAGAAACATGTTGGCGAAATTGATCCTGACCTATCAGAAGTACCGAAAACATGATGTCAAAGCTCAAAAAGTTTCCAAAATGTTTTTTTTTTGAGAAAAGTGCGTTATTATAAGTCAAAGCTTATCTATGCGGTGAAGATATGTTTTAAAGTGATTTTCTATCATCAGGAGCTTGAAAATCATTGTAATTTTAAGCACATGGTTTCAGTAAACGCGTCATGCGAAGTGCAATTCCAAGCAGCCATGTGACAATTTCCAGGAGACCCTTGACAATGAGCTGTTTTCAGTAGCCTCCATGTGCTCTTTTGAGGCAATTTTAACCCACTTTGAGATGAATTGCAACGTTCAGCTCTTTTTGTGTGTGTGTGTGTGTGTGTGGTTGTGACAGTAGAGCGACTAAACTTGCGACAGGAAAATAAACTAAAAATGTGTAGTTTTGGAAAAAAAACTTATTTTTTGACTCGCATCTCCTTTCAGCGCATCATTTATCGTTGTTAAAAAGTGGTTGAAGATTTTGAGTACTTAGCACTCTAGTACGAGAGAGCAAAGGCCGTCCCGGGGGCTCACACTTGATAAGGCCCTGTTGGCAAAAGTTACGACGTCAGCCGCCCCTTCAGCGGGAATACTTGAGAAGAAGAGCTCATCGCACCGCCGTCAAATAGACTGTTTACAAAAAGAGGTTAACGGTTTATACTACTATGGAGAGCTTAGGTGGGCCTCACGCTTGACGACGCCGCGTTGGCGAGAATTCCATCTGTGTTCAGAATGACATCTGTGTGTTTAGAAAAAGTGGTTAACGATTTAGAGTACTTAGTACTCCACTATGGGAGAGCGACGTCACCCTAAGAAAGGTTCGATGTATGATTAGAAGAAGGTGTTGACGATTTAGAGTACTTGGTACTTTACTAAGGGAGAGCATAAAGCCGTCCCGTGCGCTTAATTTTAGTCCACCCTCAACGGTACGCTATACGGCACCAAGTGTGCGCGTGGTGTTTAGAAAAAATTTATTGCCACAAACGTCAATAACACTCAACAGAACATTTCCGTCTTAGACATACTCTGACGATGATGACAAGACAGACGTCATTTACATGAACATGGATATGAGATGACGTTGAAAAAACATGTACATTCAATGGTTCACACAAACACAACCACAAAATACTTCAAGGTAAACAAGAGACAAATAAAACATAAATATGTACATTTTGCATATTTACATGTTGGCATGCCATTTCTGCCGGCGCATCGACAGATCAGCCTACCAATACCAGGCCGGCCGAAAGACGAGTTTCACTCGTCCGTCATAGACCGACACAAAAGGGCAAGACCAGTGCCGAAGAAATTCCTCTTCACCGAGGAAGAAGAGCTCCTCCGACAAAACAGACAGCAGCTCCGAGTACAATCGTTCTAGGATCGGGAAGAGCGCGCGGCGGCGGCGGCCCGCTGCAACCGCCTCGCAGCGGTTGCGCCAGAGGCAGAAAGCGCCGGCAACAATGAGAAGACAAGCGAAGCGGCCTCGCGAACAACGCCCAGAAGAAACAAAGCGATTTACTCTGAGGCAGCGAAATCCAGCATGTACGGCTCTCCAAAAAACGCGAGCAATGATACAATGTCTCAGAAAATGCTGATTTGTTTCCCGAAGGGAGCAGTTCGGACATGTTGCTGACTGGACTATTCTCCACCTTTCGAGTCGGTCGAGAGTGGGAAGTACACCCCATCCCAGGCGCCACATGAAGTCCCGAAGGTGTCCAGGCAGAAAAGAAGCCGTTAAGGAGCTCCAAGACACCCGTCTAGAGCGAGCACGGCGGGCTGGCGGGACCAACGGAAGCAACAAAGCAGCAGTTGTCTCAACTATGTGGTTGTTCAAAACATCTATGCCAGGACAGCTCGACTTGACATGGCGAAAAAATGCAACAGTTGTTGCATAAAACGCAGGAAGTGTTATTGACTGTGGCCCCCTGTTAAGTTGCACATTAGGCATCAAATGGCGAAGGTGAGTACCCAGAAAGTAATATGCAAGCGTTCGTGCGGGAGATTCCTCCCCTTGCACTAGGCGCAAAAGGAAACGCAGTGCCAGCAGCCGACAGCGTATGGACACTGAAGGAAAAGCAAAGCCTCCTTGAGCACGCTGCTGTCCCAGTGCCGCGCGAGAGACCAACTCAGTGCCGCCTGACCAAAAAAAGGAACACAAAGCAGACTGCAGTGATCGCACGATACGTAAAGATGGTTGCACGACGTGAGAAAGGTACCAAATGCGACCGCAAAATACAGTCTGCGCAAGGTACCTCCGCTCAAGAAGCGGGAAGTCAAAATCCCGTGCATCCTGAATTTTCAGTCTTACTTCCTCGAGAGCGTTTAACCAAACAGATTCGCAAATGCCGTAGTGGTTGTATGAAATACCTAAAATACGAAGGGACGCGGCCGGCTGAATGGGAACACCGGCGCTAAGCCTGGAGTTTGGAGAGCCAATGAAGAAATACCGGGATTTGGAGATGTTCAACGCTGCACCTGAAATGTCGCCATACTGGGAAAATACATGCAGGCTGCGTGAAAGGCTATCTTCATCTGAAAGGTACAAGGTTATATCATCAGCGAAAGCTGTGACTTTCACGACACCGCTACCAGGAAGCGCAAGACCCCGGACATGTGAATCCGCGTCAAGAGCACGCAAGTATGGCTCAAGGCTGAGGACAAATAGCACAGGAGACAATGGACATCCCTGACGGACCCCACGTGTTATGGAAAAGGCGGCACTTTCCCAACCATCCAGAACTAGTGTGCTTTTCAGACCAGTGTACGTATTTTTAATCATTTCCACAAACGAATGAGAAAAGCCGAAGGCTGTGAGCACATTAAAGATATACGCGTGCTCTAGTCGGTCAAACGCTTTTTCCTGGTCCAAAGACACAAGGATACCACGTGCAGATCGCGACAAAGTATAAGCTATGATATCCCGTGTCGTATATGACAAGCTGTGTATTTCTCGTCCAAGCACTGATGAAGTCTGGTGATGACCTATTAGGGTGTTCAACAGACCCCTCAAACGTTGAACGGCTACCGCCGCGAATATCTTATAGTCAACGTTGAGGAGCGTGATAGGTCTCCAATCTTCAGGATTAACAGAGGAAGCATCACCCTTTGGAATAAGCACAATGCGTCCATCTCGAAAACTTGATGGAAAGACACCGTCCTCGTAGCATCGCCGGATTACCGCGGTAATTGTAGCACCAATCTCATCCCAAAATGTCAAGTAAAACTCAACAGGTAAACCGTCTGGCCCTGGGGCCGTTCCACGTTTCATAGATTTCAGTGCCACCTTTACCTCTTCAGCCGACGGAGGGATGTGCAGGCAATCTGCAACTTCTTGAGGAATACGGGGCAAACTTCTAAGCATTGGCGGTGTTTCATCACAGTTAGTCCGCATGGCCGAACACGACATTGCTTCAAAATGCGCCAAGAAAACGGATCGATCACGCGTAGGAAGCCGCTGCGCAGGTGGTATTTGTGCTGTCATAGAGACAGGTGACTCTGATTGCCCAAAAAAGGAATGTCTCGCGTAGCGCAGCACCTCGGGATGTGCATATGGGTTGTGTCTACAGCGCCATGCTGCTGCCGCCAGGGACGAAGCAGCAGTCAAGCGCTGAAAGCGTTCACGCAGTTCACGCTGCCACGCTCGCATCAGAGGAGAAGGCGTCTCGGCGCGCAAAGCAATGCGTAACTTCATCGCGGTATCAGCAAGCTCTTCAGAAACGCGTCGACGAAGCGAACGCCCCTCTACTGCGCAGCGCAGGCGCCACTGTGTTTTAAGCGCATCCCAATATTCAGGACCAGACGCCGTGAGCGACACACGTATTGCGCGTGACAAATCTGATCTTGAGCGCGCGTCCTGCAGGACGCGAACATCAAGACGCCATGGCTTTTCTGAGAAAGAAAATGGAACTTCGAGCTTCAAGACAATAGGCCGATGATCAGATACGTACACAGGAGAAGGTGGGAAGGACGGAACGCATAAATCAGAGACAAACGCCTCTAACGCTCGTGGGATATAAGCCCGGTCGAGCCTGCTGGAGGATCGTCCACGTCGCCATGTCCAAACAAAGGTATTTCCGTGCACTACATTGTGCGCGTCTAGTAATGAAAAGTGGTGGACAAGGCGGCGAAGCTCGCGTGAATTCCAAGCAGACCGGCCCCAGCCAGGACCTTGTACATCCGTTCGCGTATTTAGAACGCAGTTGAAGTCGCCA